ATATATACTACTACACTATATATATATATATATATATATATATATATATATACTCATATATATATATATATATATAATATATATAAACATATATATTTATATAAATATAAATATAAATGAATATATTAATGAAAGTATAAATAAATATATAAAAATATAAATATATTTTAATGAATGTATAATTAAATATATAAACATATATATATATATATATATATACATACATACGTATAACTATATATATATATATATATACATATAAATATACATACATACGTATATATATATATAAATACATACATCTACATATACTGATCCAAAATGATCTTGGCCTCCTACACCTATTTACAGTTATATAATATGTATTCTAGCAATTTTTTTTTACATAATGACGTATGTATAGAAATCTGCTTATGTACTAATACGTATACAACAATCGAGTTCATTCAAAATAGAATATATCACGCAATGAATACGTATTTCGAAATCGCTCCACAGTGTTTAAATACACAGCGCTGTATAACTATATAAGAATGAACATTACTAGGTGTATAGATGCAGTCTATATGGTATAAGTCTTCAATGTATAGAATTCAAATCGAAGAATACACCTAACAATACTGCAGAAAATCAGCTTTGGATACATTGCAAATCGCCACTCTCGTTGAACCGTAAAATCTACACCAAGGCATGTATGTGTACGTTTGAGAACGTGAGATACATGCGTATCTTTAGACACGTATATGTACACGTTGGAATATGTATATATATATATATATATTATGTATAAATATATATATATACATATATAGATTATATATATATATACATATATATATATATATCTATATATACATATATACATCATCTATATAAATATAAATATATATCAATGATGATCAGAACTGCACTTACATGGCCACCTCTGGCAAGGTTGCCTCTCCGGACTTCGGGAAGGCAGCAATCAAGGTGCCTTGAGAATCACCGCATGACAATCCTACAATCGTCAGAGTGGTTGATATGATAATGGGCGCCACTACCTCGACACTTTTGGTCAATCCGATTACGTCCTATATATATGCGTAAACGTAAAATATATGAGAGTTTGTACGTGGGACAGGTATGAGTATACGCTAACGCGATGCGTCAGTATACGTTCACGAGATAAAAACGAGTATATTAATACAGTATTTACATACGTAATCTAAAACGAGATAGGCACGAGCACAATCCCATCAGCTAAGTACGAGTGTATTATATTGAACAGAGTATACGCCAAAGAACGGGAGGCCTTATCGATGTTATATGGAACAAAACCCAAGCTAAAAATATAACACATACTCAGCAAACAAACCCAAAACAGCATGCGCATACTTCGAAGTTCGCGCCTTGCACTGCCTCGGCGAATGTAGCAGTGGTGCATAGGTTGTTAACCATAACGTCGCATAGACACATCGCTTCGTTCCGGTCTGTGGAGTCCCCGTCCGCAAGATCACAAGTTTCCTTCTGCGCTTCATAGTGTACGTCTATCTGCTTTCTATATGCATCTGCCTCGCATGTATTATCGTATGGTGTGGCTGCAAATTTGGATGGAAAATTGACGTAAGGAATAAATATATACAGTAATTAAACCCTAAAAACATACTGCGATCTGATGACATACACACATAGATTATAAATATATATATAAATGTGTACAATACATGCAAAAATATTTACACACACGCACAACCACGCACGCACACACACATATATATATGAAAACATATATATGAAAAAACATACAAAATTCATGTATATATATATATATACATATGTATGAATATACTATACTATATATATACATGTATAAGTGAGTCAAAAATAGATATATGTATATAACAGTATAAA